AAAGAAGAGTAGTAATCCCAGGATTAAGAAGAAATATAAGAAAAAGCTCGCGAGAAGTCAACTAATTAAATAAGGAAGATTAAAAGAAGGAATAACAAGAACTAGACTAGATGTTCTTTGAATGCTTGGACGATGTCCATGGGATGGGGACTGAGGATAAAGTAGTTTAGTTTGTACGACTCATCTTCTTCGCAGCAACGCAACAAAGGTAGTCAGCCTGTTCGCTGCCTTGCGTCTATTTCGTCATCTTCGCCTTACGACTCCTAACGTTCCTTACGTGATTTAGGAGAGAATTCCACATTTTTCGGACAAGACCGGTGGAATACCGCTGGTTGTCAGCTCTTTGTATTTCAACTCTCAGACTGGCTGAGACAAAACCACTGGAAGAATGGCTTCCCCTTCCTCTGCTGTCTACTCAGCAAGTACCATATTTCTATTTCCGAACCCAACTCGTAATCCCCACTCCTTTGTCTTCTTCCTCTTTCCGTTGGACTCTTGACCCCCTGGGTTGGACACCCCAGTATCTACTCCGAAACCTTACAAGTAAGACCCACGAAAGACCGACACCTTTGCCTCCTTTCAGTTAACTGACACTGATTTGATTCGAAACGGGAATTTCTCATTCCCAATCCATCCCGATGTCCTGCCGCTAAAGGAAGGAGTCAAAGAAGTCTTTATTCATAGCAATTTACGAATGGTGGTTACTGCTGAAATTGGCTCATGCTTATAGAAGAAGTTATGTGGTGAACACTATTATAAAAGATTAGCTCATGCTTATAGAAGAAGTTAGAATGAAACTCTTGGTTAAATACCAAAGAGTATTATCTCGACTTGTAGATCGAGTATCTCCTAGAAGGAGTATATTTGACCCAACCAATCTACTTGAATCTCTTTTTAGAGATGTAACATTATAACACCAATGAGTGTCAAAATTTTAAAATTTGACAAATATTTATAAGGATTCAAAGAAACTAATGAGTATATTATAGGACATGAAGTTCTAATGGACTTGAAGTCCACAAAAGACCTGAAGTTTATTTATTAAGTGCAATTGTTATAAAATTTTATATCGCAAATTGCACCAGGCCTAATACTACATTTTTCCATGAATTGCTAGCAAGTTATTATTTATCTTCTTAAATAAATCATGATAAATGTTGAAAATATCTATGTTTTTTATGTATGTTGAGTTATCTTTGGATTTGATATATTGGTAGATAAATACATCAACTGTATAACTGATCCCCGAAGTATTAAGTCATCGATTGATTATATACCCTAACGGCATGATTGGTATGAGGGAATGAAATTTCGTAGGAATGGAATGAATTGAAGAATGAAATGATTATGGGAATGGAATGAAACATGTTTTGTCATTGATGCGTTTGGTATGCAGAAGGAATAGGACTAAAATGGAATGACATTATCATTTTTTATTATAAAAATAAATAAAAGCTTTTTTAAGAAAATAAAATACTTTTAATAAATTATTTATAAATGATTTTTTATATATAAAAATAAAATAATATATTTTTAATAAAATATTTTGAATAATATATAAAAATAGAATACTATATTGTTTAATAATGCAAAAATAATATATTTTTAATAATATATATTTTTAATATTTTTCAATAATATATTTTTAAAATTAATATATTTTTAATATATAAAAGATAATATATTTTTAATAATATATTTTAAATTATATATAAATGCTTTTTTTAGTTTTATTTTTATATAAGTATTTAATATATCTAATAAAAAAATAAATAAAAGTAAGTTTTCAATTTTTTTGTTTGAATTTTTTTTAAACATAATTTTATTTAAAATATTTTAATCATGATTTATAATATATATTATATATTTATTTTTTATTATTATTTATTAATTTTATTTTTTGAAAAATTGATTTCTACACACATGGGAATGAGAAAACCTTCCATTTACTATGGAATGGCTAATCCCATGGAGATGGGTTTTGCCATTCCAATTGGAATGGTCATTCCTTCCCACAAAAGTACCAATCATGGGATAAGAAATGAGTAGAGAATGATCATTCCATTCTTATGTCATTCCTTCCAACCAATCATGCCATAAAGGTGTGATACGCATATGATACGATTATGGATTTAAATATTTAATAAAATATTGTGTGTCATAATCTACACTTAAAATGCATTTAATGTCGCCGAAAGATGATGTGATAAATGTGTACAATGAATTATTGTGATGTTTACTTATATCAATGATGATGATTTGCATCATTAACTTATTCTTTGTGATATGAGATGTTTTGTTCTCGATTGGTGAAAATTATTACTAGCTAAATATTTGTGAATCGATTTTTTATGAATCTGAGTATGAAAGGGGTATGATATATATGGGCCCACTACCCCTCTATGTGTGCTACTAGATATTATGGATCCACTAGATAGCCACATGAGTATGTGATTAGTAACCTAAAGTTACGAGATATTTTGATCAATAAATATGCATATGAGACGTAACCTGAAGTTAGAAGATGATGAAAATAAGTGTCATATGAAAGCGATAAAGCTAGTAATATAATCAACTGATATGATGAATTCTTGAAAGAAAAATGTGCACATTACAAGTGATATAGTTTAAAGTTCTCCTATTATAAATTGGAACCGAGAACGAAACGTACACTATGAACTCTTCTTCTTAAGAAATTCAATACTGGAAATACATATCAAGAATTTGTTAAGATGCGGGGAGATTCAATGATTGAAATTTGTAAATGATACATTTATCACACTGGAAGTGTGCAAATAGAATGAATGATACTGATGGTGGTAAAATATATGAAATAATATGATGGTGGAATAATATGCTGGAAGCATTGGTATTGGTATCGTAAAAATTATGAAAATATTATTATATGGAATACGCGTTGTACTCTTTTTCCCTTGACTGAGGTTTTGCATGTCTCTTTGGGTTTTACCAGCAAGGTTTTTAATGAGGCAACATAGATGGCGTATTCACATGAATGGTGTACTCTTTTTATTTAATTAGGATTTTGTCCCACTGGGTTTACCTAATAAGGTTTTAACGAGGCATATTCATGGTATAATGAGAATTACTGAATAATTAATATAATTTCTCATGATGATAAGAAGAGATTAGGGTAACTGTACTCTTTTTCCTTCGATCAAGTTTTTTCCCAGTGGGTTTTCTTGACAAGATTTTAATGAGATAGCACATGAATACTCCACTAAAGATGATTTATTTGATGGGGAGCAAAGTTGTGCTTCCACAATAATCAGGTTTTGTCCCACCGGGTTTTCCTGAGGGAGCAATGTGATTCCATAATGATCAGATTTTGTTCCACCGGATTTTCCTGACATGCTGAAGCAACAGTACATGAAGGCCACAAGATACACTTCAAGATGTTCATATTGAGCTTTGTACAAATAATGATTAAAATATGTTTATAAAATAGTCATTCAAGGGGGAGTGTTATAATATGGTGTGTGTTTGTGTGGTGGGTGTAACCACCACCAACCATAATTAAATAAATTATAAAATAATATATGTGAATGACTATTTTGCTTCAGATGTAATTGTATTATTATGATTGTACTATTAAAAATTTTTCTATAAATAAGAATTTCAATTATAATAAAAATACAACGAAGAGAAAACATTCTCTATATTTCTCTCTTATAAAAGAGAGAGGTACAAAAAAGGGGTATCTTGGATAAATAAAGGGATTTGTTTTGTGAAAGAAGATAAAGAAGGCTGCAGTGGGAAAAGGAGCCGGGGCAGGCGACAAATCACTGGGCCTCACAGGGCATGGGCCGTAAGTAGTGTTTGTTGGTGCGTAATGACTCATTAAGTGGAGTATAATAATGTTAAATATTATTTGTTGTTTNTAATACAATCTAGCTTGCCCACAACAGGAAACTTCATCTTCATGTATTAAAAATGTGAAACATTTTTGTTATTTTTTCATTTTTTTCTTAAAGCTATTTCGTTCTTTTTTTTTTTGGTACAAAAAACTATTTCATTCTCAATGTTCATAAATGAATCTGACTCCCCTAACAATTAACCCACCTTATATATAAGAATTTATGTAGGATAAAAACTAACACTAATATAATCATCATATATAAGGATCAATAGTTACTTACCCTTCAGTTTCTTATATTATTAATAAATTAGTTTGACGTTTAACAATTGGAGAAGGATAATGTCCATACAGCCATGTTCAAACCAATTAATATAATCTAACTTGTATTATATTTACCAATAATCTCATAATTAATCAGCCACTTGAGCTCGTTGAATCGTTCCTCGTTTCGAATTTCCTTATCATTTAAGCATTAGATTTGATCAAATAGAAAGTGTGTTCTTCCTTTGTACCTTTCTGGAATTCCACTTGGTTTAATTAACTCATTATATGGCGGCTAATTCGATGGATGATTGAGAGGTATTGTTAGGTTGTGCACAAGATATAATTTTTTACGAGAATCTCATTGTTAGATCTCAATCAATCAACGATTATTTTTTTCGAAGATATATTACTAAATAAAAAGATTTTAATCCACGGACCAACTAGAATAGCTAAAAGCTGAATTGAGGAAAAGTGCACCTCGCACACTAAATTCGAAAAACTCACACACTAAAACTAAAACAAAACAAATTTAACTCCCACATAGGAGAAACTAAAACTCTCTAATAATAACAAACACAAAAACAAACCATAAAAAATACAAACAAAACACTAAGATGTTGTAGAATAGTGTTCTCCTCGTCTCCCAAATAAAAAGATCACACGATTTGAAAGTGAAGATCAAATGATGGACACGAAATCCAAAAAAATAAAAAGAAAATCCAAAAAGCTCTTAGATGAGTACAACTAATAACCAAAAACTATTGAACATTACACTTTCCCTTACTCATACACAATCCACACATGAAGAATTAAATCCAACCTTGAGAGAATTAAATTAATCTTCATAAACACCCATCACTCACTCGATTACCCACTCGCCCAACGACTCATCCGAATACCTCACGTACAACGTGTACTCAATCACTCCGTGATTCGTCTCCACATCGTACGAATATAGCTTCGTTATCGCGTAACCGCGCGCGAACCGAAAGACCCCCGTGCCCCCGACCACCGCCAGCTCGCGCGTGGGGTCGTCTATCTGATTCCGCCCGACCATGCAGATCGTGCTGCCCGCAATCTCCCCTGACGTGAAGTAGAAGTTGAGGTTCATGGCAAGCGCCGTCTTCGCCAGGTCAGCAGACGTGATCAAACCCTGGATTCGCCCCACTTTTTTCGAGCCTGGGTCGGGCAGGGCCGTCAGGAGGTCGTCGAGTGCGCGGACCTGCCCGAAGCTCGTGGGGGAGGTCGACGTGACCGAGGCTCGGGCAACCTCGTACACCGTCTGGTTTTCGCCAGCTAGGACGTCTTGCACGTACAAGTGGATCTTGGCCGAGACCTCGCCGCCAGATCGACTGGTGACGTGGAACCATGATGACGTGGCGGGTTCGTGGGCTAGGGCATTTAGGAAAAATGAGGTGAAGAGAAGAATGTTGGTGATCACAATGAGGTTAGCCATTGTTGATATTGTGTCGAGTAGGTTTAGTGTTTGTGGTTTGGGTTTTATAGAGGGGGTGTTGTGGAGGGGCGTGAATGGAATTGTGTTAAAATTTTGGGGATGGTGTGTAATTAATTGGGAATTTGAATGAAATTATATCTACTAATTATGTGGGGTGCCAAAGTTTGACTTCGTACTTAATTATTTGAATGACTTTGTAATTATTGTAAGCAGCCATAGGGCTTTTATATAATTACTGGATAAATTTTATAATTAGTCTCACGAGTCATATTTTGAATGTATTTATGACCTAATTAGTTAAGTTAAAATAACACAATTAGACAGCTTAATTATATCACGAGATTGTCAATGACTATCAGGTGTAACTAATACGCATATATATCAGAACGTGGTGCAAGAGATAGAATATTACAACCATACAGTTTGTTCATAAGTTAAATGGAAAATATCTCAAAATGAACACACTGATATTTTCAACCTAATTCATTTTGTTCATAACTTATGTTCAGTTTGAGATATTTTCATAACTAATACGAATTAATTGATTGAAAATAACTTATGTTCATTTTGAGATATTTTCATTCAAATGAAATATTACAACCACACAGTTTGTTATTAACTTATGAACAAAATGCAAAATATCTCAAAAATTCAAAATGGAAATATCAGAATGTGTGGTGCAAGAGATAGAATATCTCATTTGAATTTTTTTCTAGACACTTTCAAAATATTTCTTCATAAGTTGATATAGAAAATTAATTATAATTTATAAAATGTTTTATCTAATTAATATATCAAGGTTTAAGAGCCTACAATTTAAGTGGTGTAGATTAGGATTATTATAATTATTAATATTATAGTTAGTTTGGAGAATAAACTAGGGTTTAGTTTAAGAATCTTATTTATAGGGCTCTTATGCTTTGTTATTAGGGGAGTTGATTATTGAATGAAATATGAATTGAGTGTTTATCGTGTTTTGGTATTCTTAAGGTTGCGATCTCATTAATATCGTCTCACTCGTACGCTTCCCTACATCAGTTGGTATCAACAGTCAGTACGATTCGCGATGTCGCCGGGACGACAAGATGCCGCAAACGCACGACGTGACGCAAACCTTCAACGATCGATTACAACAGATCGACTACCATTTTCAACAGTTGGACGTATGATTCACGGATTGGTTTGCTAATCTTTCGACGGGGATCGAGGATTTGTATTTGACGCTTGACAACGTGGTCTGGGATTTGCAAACGTACCGTGACGCCGGCAACCACGGCGTGCGCGGGGGAATTCGCGGAGGACGTGGAGGCCGAGATCCCGGCGGGGCGCCCCGCCGGAGATCTCCACAACCACCGTCCGGCGACGAAGACGACGAGGAGACAGTCTCGAAGGTGAATCCCTTTGACGATTTTCTAACCCTGCACGTCAAGGCTGACCCCTTCGCTATATACGGCAGTCGTGACATGCGGCAACGGGGCCCGGTCTTCATTGACGGCGACGATCAACGCGGCGACAGAGGCAGACGCAAGGAGGCTGCCTTCGTCAGCGGATATCGTGCCCGACATGATTGGGGACTTGATCGCGAATATGGTCAATGGGAGGGCCCGTTTCGCGTTGACATCCCCGAATTCGACAGTGAACAAGTTGACGGGCCATTGTACGACGGTCCGCCGATCTTTGATGAAGAGCCTTCGGTGACGGAGAAGAATCTTTGCAGGGACATGGGAGTCGATGAGAATATTAAATATCGAGATACAGAGACGGGGCAAGTGATATCACCTTTCTCGACTGGATAGATCCCTTATGTAGTGAGGCTTAATCCAGATGAGGATAAACAAAATGTTTTGTTAGCAGGAACGAGTGATAAAAAAAATTGTGCAGTGGGATATTAATACAGTGTGGGAGTTTGGGATTCTGACGATTATAAAGTATGTTAGTGAGGGAAGGTGTTGGAAAGTGTTTAGAACTTTCAACTGTCATGAGGGAAGGTGTTGGTTTTAGAATGACTATCAAGAGGGTGTTGAACTGCTTGGGCGACATTCAAATTTTGTGTTCGACCGGGGGAAACGACGAGGATTTCCTACCATGGGTTCGACACCACACGCCGGTCACGGGAGCGCATCGACTTCGAGGGCGAAGCCTTCCGAACCGGGGGAGAATGGTGTAGATTATTATTATTATTATTATTATTATTATTATTAATATTATTATTATTATTATTATTATTATTATTATTATTTAACTTGGAGAAGAAACTAGGGTTTAGTTTAAGAGTCTTATTTATAGTGCTCTTGTGCTTTGTTATTAGGGGAGTTGATTATTGAATGAAATATGAATTAGGTGTTTACGTGTTTTGCTGTTCTTTAGATTGCGATCTCATTAATATCGTCTATCTCGTACGCTTCCCTACATCATTAAGTTTCCACGTTAGCCTTTTAGACTACAATTAAAGAACAGCGAACAGTTGGCTACAAGAATTCTATATACGAATGGACGTTTAACAAGGATGAATTAATATAGTGCTTGGATTTAAAAGAAAAAAAGAAAAAACCAGTTATAAAGTAGTATGACTTTTGGAAAATTAAATCTTACATCTGTATCACCTATCAAAACAATAATAAATCATAATAAAACTTGTTTTATTCCTAGCTAGTATCAATTTTGGATTCGGATGTCTCGTTGACATTGACCATTCAGCAAACCCAATCACAAGATTCATTCCAATAACAATTGTATTTTCAACATTGCTTAAAGTTTTTTTCCCACGTAAAATTCGGAGTTTAACATCTTATAACATTAAATAAATGAAGTATTCTCTTTTTCACTAACCACAAGAAACTGCGAATGACACTGTAGTTTAGTATGAATTAATTAAGTGATTCCAAAGTCAGTACGTGAACTCAACTCGTTAAAGTTAAACGAGTTGAGTCTGTTTGATACATTGAACAAATCGAATTTAAACTCATTTAGTTAACGGTTCTGCTCGTTAGGGTTTATTAATTAAAGCTAAAAAAATATATCTTTTTATATAATTATTTATAATTCGGCTCGTCAAAAATTCGACCTAAGCCCATCTAAAGCTGGTTTATTGATTCGTTCGAGCATACTCGATAAAGACCCAATCACGAGCTCATACACCTCTCGTTGCGAACCTCTTGAATTTAATTGAAAAAAAAAAATAAAAATAGAACTTCTTGGTTGCATATCTTAAGGCGTGCAAAAGTTTGTTTTGATACTTTTAACACATTTAACTCTACCTCAACTTTTAAGAATATTCAATCTTGTAGAACGATGTCTAAAATTAGACCAAATATCTAGTTGCTATATCTAATTTCACTCTATTCTAATTTGTCAAAGGTGCAATTTTAATTAAGCAGTCATACTTTTTAAATAAAAATATATATACTCGTAACATGAAATGTCACGATTGTCAAAGGTGCTATAATACATTAAAAGTTTTATTTGTGTGACATTGGAACATTATAAATAAATAAATATGATAAAAAACCACGATTGTCTAACATTAGTCAGTCACACTAGAGCAATATTTCCGATTCCTAGCTATCATGCACTTCATGATCAACTATAAATAACCCTCATGTGCCCATTCCCAAAATCACAATCTATCATTATATAAAAAGAATAACCTTTTTATAAATTTAGAAATTTTTTCCCGCCAAAATCATTAAATATATACTATATATAGTAATTGTTGGACAAATCTGAATAGGTAAAAAAAATCGGCTCATTAATTGTATAAAGATTTGTTTCTCTTTTTCCTGTTTTTTAGTTTATCAAAACTGTTGTTTTGACAATAAATATTTGTTTTTCTTTTTCCTATTTTTAGTATAAATCTACACGAGCTTATCTCTTCTGTGACAAAATCCCATTGCATACGTCTCACGTGTTTAAAAAATCTCATCCCTTATCCATACAGATTTGAAAAAATAAAATAAAATAGAAACCAATTCATAATTACTACTAGAAATTCATTATCTTTAAAAAGAAAAAATAAAATAAAATAAAAACCAATTCATAATTACTACTAGAAATTCATTATCTTTAAAAAGAAAAAATAAAATAAAATAAAAATCAATTCATAATTACTAATAGAAATCCATTATCTACCTTAAGAAACTAATTTTCATCGGTCTAATTACTAATATCTTTACAAATATTATAAGCTAACCATACAAAAAAGTATAATGATAATTTTGAAATGGTGTGTAATCAAATTTTTTTGTTATACAAAATAATTTGACATTGTTTGACCTCGAATCTTTAATTTATAATTATTAAGTATTGTTTATCCTCCTCTTTAATTTATAATTATTTTTTTCTTCCTCTTTTTAAATATGATCAATAGTAGTTTCCACTTCCGTAATTGAGTGACTCAAACTCGAGGTCTATTTATAATATTGTTATCGTGCATTGCACGGGGTACACACTAGTCAAACCAAGAAAAAATTCCAAAGTGTGTCCACATTAAAAGTGACAAATATGGGAAATCAATTCAAACTTTTTGTACTCTTTTCCATTTTAATGATCATGCCTGAAGCCAATGGCTTTGGGAAAAAATTTACTCAACTACAATTATACGTTCAAGACATGCTTCATGGCCCAACCCCAACACCTATAAACGTTGCCATGGCCAATTCCACGCCCTCTTCACCGACGTTTTTTGGGCTTGTTGCCGTTCTGGATGACCCAGTGAGAACTGGGCTCAGTTTGGATGCCGAGATCGTGGGCCGGGCCCAAGGGATGATTGTCTTCGCCTCCATAGCAGAGACAAACATCCACCTGACATTCGACCTCGTTTTTACAGGTGGAGAGTATAATGGTAAGACGTTTTAAAATTATATTTTTAAGATATTTTTTTAAAATAATTGAAAAACGTATTTCAATAATACGTTTTATAAAAAAAAATTAATAAATAAAACGTATTTTGATAATATGTTTAATAAATAATTAAAAAAGTTTAATAAATAATTAAGAAATAAAACGTTTTATCATAATACGTATTTTGATAATACGTTTTATATTTTAAAATTAATGAAAAAAAAATTAATGTGTAGTATGTATTTTGTGTTTTGGGTTCGTTTGGGCTCGTTTGAACTCGGAATTGAGTTTCGTTTATTCCTATACGTAGCTAACGAACCCCTCTATTCAATGATACTTGCATGACCAAATTATTCTTGAAATCTTATTCTCCCAAAGCTCTTGACCGATACAATAAACGTGTTTCGCGCAACTTTTCTTTTTGGGCCCGTTCGGACTCGTCCAAGCTCGAAATTGATTTCTGTTTCTTCCTATATGTCGTCAAGGAACCATTCTACACAACCATGATTTCCTGGTCTATTTTCGGGCTAAATCGATTTTTCACGGGCTAAATAATTAACAAATCACCTATTAACAAATCCTCTGTGTACCATCTATTTATATAATGAGTGATTTGTTAATTATTTAGCCCATGAGGAATAGATTGAACCCGAAAATTGCATATAGTTTTTTTACTGTTGGAGGCCAAGAGGTTACACTAGGAGCGTCGTTCAGTCAAGTTCTATCCGAGGAGGACTACGTCTCATCCCAGAAAACACAGTCACAGAGGGCGAGACATCAACCCCCTGCTAACATTGGTGGAGGTAGAAGACGTCGTGACCACGAACGACAACAACGCCCGTTCGAAGTTGAGTTCTATTTTTTCCTATACGTAGCTAACGAACCTCTTTATTCAATGATGCATGCATGACCAAATTATTCTTGAAATCATATTCTCCCAAAGCTCTTGACCTACACATTAAACGTATTTAGCGCGACTTTGATTTTTGGGCCCGTTCGGACTCGTCCAAGCTCGAAATTGACTTCCGCTTCTTCCTATATGTCGCCAACGAACCCATCTACACAACCATGATTTCCCGGTCAATTTTCGGGTTAAATATATTCCTCACGGGGCTAAATAATTAACAAATACCTATTAACAAATCCTCCGTGGACCATCTATTTATATAATGGGTGATTTGTTAATTATTTAGCCCGTGAGGAATAGATTTAGCCCGAAAATTGACCAGGCAATCATGGTTGTGTAGATGGGTTCGTTGGCGACATATAGGAAGAAGCGGTAATGAATTTTGACCTTGGGGGTCTGAACGGGCCCAAAAAGCAAAGTCTCGCGAAACACGTTTAATGCATCGGTCAAGAGTTTTCGGAGAATATGATTTCAAGAATAATTTAGCCATCAAGCATCATTGGATAGAGGGGTTCGTTAGCTACGTATAGAAAAAAACAAAACTCAATTCCGAGTTCAGACGAGCCCAAACGAGCCCAAAACACAAAACACATACTATATATTATTTATAAAACGTATTTTTGATAATACGTTTTATTTATAATTAAGAAATAGAACGTATTATTCAAATACGTTTTAGTTTTTAATCCCCCGGTTAAATGAGAATAACAAAAACAATTAAATATTTTCACTCTTAAGAGAAAGAGACACTTGAATTTGAAAATCAAAAAGGAAAACAAAGCATCAACAAAAAGAAAGCTTATAGAAAACAAATTTAGTTCAAGAAACCAAGACTTGCACTTTTATGGTGCGTAGAGAAGAGAGCTTGGAATTCTAAAGCGAGATGGCTAAAATGTCATAAAGCCGATGTTTTAGTTTTTCCAGGGAAGTTTGTCTATTATTTGCGCATCATGTTACTTTATGACTGCCTCCTCTATGCTTTGTAATTTGGATTCTCACAGAATAATCCCAAGGTTTTTCTGTTCCAGGCACGTCTGCGTGGCGGGGAACACGTGGCAGGTAGTTCAAGATGACTGGACTGGTCTTTTGTTCAAAGGAGACAAAAGCAGAGCAAATGATAAGAGATGTAGGGAAAGTGTTCCAATCTCACCTTTTATAGAGATTCTTATTTTATATACGTTTTTCCATAAAAAAAAAAGGGGTGAAAAACAGCCTTAATTGTTTGGATTTTGCAGATTTATGATTCGTGATGAATCTAAAGCATTTAATTTTGATTCCGGACCCTCCTTGCTTTTTAACCNCTAATTCCCTTTCAAAAACTCACACAACACAAGCTAAACTCACAAAAAACCAACAAAACCATGTTTATCTGCCGAATATCAATTGTGATATTCATTTGCATAGCATTGTTGGCATTACAATTGCAACTGGTTCACAGTTCAAGAAGCGCAAACCGTTTTATGACACGTGGCCTGCAAGAACTCAAGGCAAACGAGACCAACAACATGAATGTTGATGTGGGCAAGAAATTGACGAACATGTACAAGAAGTTTGACCCGAATCAATCTAGCAAGAGAAAGGTACGGAGCGGGTCGGACCCTATCCACAACAGGAGCTGACAGAGTAAAAAGAAGGGCGAAAATAAGGAACAAAGAGAAATTTAGCCAAGCTTGTGAAGATGAAATTGAATTGCATTGTTTTTGTGACCACCAGAGATTTTTTTCATCGATTTGATTTCATTATTTGTTACTTCCGCAAAGAACACAACGGCACNGGCAAAAAATCATGCTTTGGAGTTAGACTTGGATATAAATTAATATTTGTATTAATTGTATTTTAATATCATTTCCTATTATAATCATTGAATTGTAAATATATTTTAAAAGTTTATAACTTTTGTATTTCTTATCGATTTTACATATACAATATATCAAATTAATCATCTTTTCATGAGCTTCGATTTGACATCCATATTATATATATAAAATAAATAAATTATATTTATATTTATAATAATAATAAAATTATTTATTAAATTAATTAGAAAATAAAATTATTTATCATTTAATGTACGAGTGTTTAATTATTATGATTAAATAATATAATTTGACAATTTAATTAAAACCCAAAGTAATATTTTATATAAAATTAAATTATTTTAATTTTTAAAAAAATAAAAAATTTAATTTTTTACAAAAGCTTTCTAATTCAACACCCGTGTAATCCCCTCTATATATAATTTCAGAATGTATTGATCCTACGTGGTAAACTCTCATGCTTCAGAATCATATTTGGCAAAAATTCATGCTTTGGAGTTAGGCTTGGATATAAATTAATATTTGTATTAATTGTATTTTAATATAATTTTCTATTATAACCATTGAATTGCAAATATATTTTAAAGTTGATAACTTTTGTATTTCATATCGGTTTTACATATATAATATATCAAATTAATCATCTTTTGATGAGCTTCGATTTGACATTCATATTGTATATATAAAATAATAAATTATATTTATCTTTATAATAATAATAAAATTATTTATTAAAATTAATTAAAAAATAAAATTATTCATCAATTAATATATTTATGTTTAATGTAGTTATATGTTATAAGATAGAAAGTTTATTATAATATAACACATATAAGTCGCACAATTAACATGTGTCATACTAAAATATATAATAATATATACTCCCTCCTATTTTTATTATTTGTCACTTTGACTTAATTGATCATTGATAAAATAAATGTTGTTTTAGATATTTTGTTCATATTTTTCTATTTTTATCCTTCCATCTAATACACTGTGTCTCTTCATATCCTATCTACATCGTTTCCCATAACATCCATTAAATAGGGTTAAATATTACCAAGAAAAAAAAATTAATTAGTGTGTTGCATTTGAATTGATATTATGAAGTCCGTTTGTATTTTACTATTTATATATATATATATATATATATATATATATATAAATAAAATACAAAACAGTAATATATATCCTTATAAATAAAATTTAAATTTATTTATCAAACTAAATTAAATTATATCAAATAAAACTATAAATTATACTATAAAGTAATAGAAATTGGTATGTATTCTTTTAAAAATGATATTTATTTCAAATCTAATTGGTATGTTGTCAATGCAATAAAAATAAATAATTATTTATCTAAGTTCTAAAATTACATATAAAGTTAGAAAACTGTGAAACACGACTGATACGACACTTGATGTATTAGGCATCTAATTAAGTAAAAAAATTAATCTATTTTGCTTAATATTAAATAAACATATTCTACACTTATGTATATACATATCACCATATTATTTCTATTTATTTAAGATATATATTTTTGTACTTATGTAATAGTAAATAATATCGATATTTTTATATGATATAAGTAAAAAAATTCAACACGGGTTGACATTTTCATTTAATGTACGAATGTTCAATTATTATGATTAAACAAATATAATTTGACAATTTAATTAAAACCCAAAGTAATGTTTTATATAAAATTAAATTATTTTAGTTTTTAAAAAAATAAAAAAATTTAATATTTTTTACAAAAGTTTCTAATTCAATCCGTGTAATACACGGGTATTGTACTAGTACATATAATTTATGAATATTTATATACCTTTTATAATATTTATGTGAACAAAATGATATTGAATTACAACTTGTAATAATGGTAAGTCCAAGGTTCACAGTTGCATCAAACTATTTGTTTAATGATTCACTAGTTGGACTATAATTAAATTTATTAATATTTTAATATATATAGTACTTTTTGCTACAAATTTATATAAAAAATAATATTTAACTATCTAAACATTAATAATTCAAATGTTTAATTTACATGATAAATAATTTATAAATTTTATTTTTTATGTACATATATGTTTGTTTATATTAAAAATAATATCAAATATAACATAATAAATAGAAAAATCGGATCAATTCTACAAGTCCGACTGGTTGGTGTTAACCGATTTGCTAGCAAACCCTTATTCAAGCAAACTGGATCGGTCGATAGCCCGGTTCCCTTTCATTTCGGTAGGACTGTGTGGTCCGATTTTGCAAACAATTGATACATCATAATTCATGTTATTTATAAATTTAATTTATGAACAAGCGTAATATTATTTTTCTTGCATCGCACGAGCAACGTACTAGTAATACAAGAATTCAAAGATCATGTGCTCACTTAAATTATAAATTACTCATTGTTCTATAAAAATTATTATAGCTTAATTGACTAATATAATAAAAAATTTATCTTGACCAGTTACTCCAAATAAAACTAATAAAGTATTTTTTTTAAAAAACCATATAACAAGTTAGAAAAAATGTATTTAATTATTTAGTTATTTCAATTTTTATGATTAGTTTCTTAATAAAGTGTATATTATATTTCTTAATAATTAAAATATCAAAACTATTTGATTCTTTATTTATTCTCATTAAATTAAATGGGAAAATAGTGGAAGTTGGTGAATATTGATGCAAATGAAGGTCGTCAACTAAAAAATACATACAATAGGGGCGAAGATGAAGGAGCAAAAAGATGCTGCCCAGGTCCAGGTGTTAGCGTCGGGCGGAGATGAAAGAGCAAAAAGATGCTGCCCAGGTCCAGGTGTTAGCGCCGCTAATAAGGTCTGATTGATTAGCGCCGTTATTCCGCTTAGCGACTACTGGGACGAACAACTAACCCGAGTTAGCGTCGCTAACCCTCCTTAATTGCGCTAAGGAGCAGTTTTCATTTCAATTTTTTTTTGTTTTCAATTTGTTTTGAATAATTTGTAGGGTTATTTATGTCGTTTTTTTGTATGAACATCTTTTTTTTTTCACTTTTATCAAATATCTCAGAAAAAGCTCGTTTTCGAGCACCAAGACGTGTCAAGATCAAGGCCATATACAAAATACTCAATTTGATACACGATTGGTAACAAATATCCTGAGCGTCGACTGGAGTCTAGGGCTTGCATAGTCGCACATACTTATAATCAAGCAACTTTTCATTTTCGCCTCATCACTTCACTCGTCAGGCCACCACACACACAATCTCATCTCAATACCAACAAAGGTGGAAAAATGGTGCAGCGGCTCACATATAGGACTCGCCATAGCTATGCCACCAAATCCAATCAGCATCGAGTTGTCAAAACTCCAGGCAACCGCCCTTTAATCAAATTCATTTTCCCTTCTGTTTTCATGTGCTGAAATGTGTTTGGATATTGTATTGAAAATTCTCTGTTCTTGTATTGTCTTCATTTTTTTTTAACGGTTCGTGTGTTTATGTCTGTGTACTAAAATGTAGGAGGGAAGCTAGTGTATCAGAGTACTAAAAAGAGGGCTAGCGGCCCTAAATGCCCAGTCACTGGGAAGAGAATCCAAGGGGTAAGAGTTTTCCAAATGAAATTAATTGTGTATTTGACTACTTTCTGTATTTTTGTTTATATATTTCATTGGTCTTTTGTGAAATCAACCATGTTAAAATTGAATCTATGATTTCGATTAGACTTGTCAGGATACACTTCTTTACCTATCTAAATCATGCTAGTGCGTCTGTTTTGTAGTCTTCACATTTTGCAAGTCTCCTTTTTGTTGCAATACAGTCATGTTTTCATATGGTAATTTATGTTTCTTATGATGGATGGGAAATGAGCTTGAGTGGTTCTTTTACTTAAGGCTGGTTTAATATTTGTCACCATTTTTTAAGTATCCTATGAGAAATTTGTTTTTCTTGTGCCTTGTTTTGGATCATTGGTTTTGGTAGCTACCATGGTTGTAGACAAGGCGGCTTGGCTTGAGCATTTATCGATTTGAGAACGGATTTCGAGCTTGGCTTATTCAGCAAAATAAACGAGTCAAACCCGAGCATTAACGAGCGGATTTTAAGAAAATTATGTAAAAAGCACCTATTCTCGAGCCAAAACGAGCTTGGCTTGTTAACTAAGTGAACCGCACATAGGACTTGGCTCGTTTATCAAATTTAATGAACCAGATTGAGAATCATTAAACAATTATAAAATAGTGCTCGGTTTCTCTAAGCTAAACAGCGCCCATTCAACCTCCTCCACTTGTTTTAAACTAGAATTTTGATGGATTCATCTTTGTGCTTATTCTCGTCGGTGGTTTATNCGTGTTTCAATGTTGCCTTTTGTTAATGCTACATGCCAATGACTTGTGGAGTTGTGTGATTAGGACATTTGGAGATGAATTTGAAATATACACTTAATCGCGTGTTGTAGCATTATTCTTATTTGTTCCCCAAATGTTGTGCAGCAGGAAAGGCTGAGGGTATTATTCTGTTTTTCCATATCCAATTCGTATTACATCCACTTTTACTTTTGTATGCTGAAATTTGGGATCTTTTAATCCTGTTGAGTTTCTAGAGTGATCAATAAGTTATAACAGACATTTTTATTTGTGGCCAGATACCTCACTTGAGACCTTCTGAGTACAAGAGGTCAAGATTACCAAGGAACAGAAGGACTGTGAACCGTCCTTATGGTGGAGTCTTATCTGGCAGTGCTGTAAGAGAAAGGTCGGTTGCATTTCTTAGAACTGACATTTACTCATCCATGTTATCTTTATTTTTTTTTCATTTCCGAAATTTTAATTTGTTAGTCTATCGGTTCTTATAGGGTCATTAGAGCTTTCTTGGTGGAAGAACAGAAGATTGTGAAGAAAGTCTTGAAGATACAGAAAGCAAAGGAGAAGCTTGCTTCCAAGAGTTGAAAGTGAAGCCAGGTGCTAAGATAGTTTTGGAGGCACAGTCGATTGATCGACTCTTGAGTTGTATTTTAAGTTTTTCTCAAGCTTCACACATTTCTGCATTATTTGGAGATATGTATTGGTATTCTCTTCGTCTTGTTCAGATATCTATCCGGATATGTTTTTTGGGGAATCTTCAATATTTTGATCATTTGATGGTTATGGAAAAAACTTCTTTGGCTTCTATGATGTGGTTTCATTGTCCCAACTTCAGCTATTGTTAAGGAAAAAACCATTTCGAATCTCTCATTTATCAGGAAAAAATATGTTGCATATAGACCCTTGCTAGTTGGGTTATTTCGTATTTCGGCCAGAGCTTACCAGGTTTCTATCCAGTTGTACACGCTCTGCAGTGAGAAATGATATCTAATTTGGCCTTGCTGTACGGGTTGCTGACAGAGACAGAGCCTTGAGAGAACAAATCCAAGTTAAAAACTTGGGTCATGTTTGTTTATGGAATTTTTCAAAAAGATTTCAACATTTTAACCCAACCACTTTTTTTAACTCAATTTTAACACAACCCAACTATCATCAAAATTATCAATATAATTAAATAATATCAATCATTCATACATACCACATCAATCTTACTTCACTATTTATCCACTCACATTATTTTAACTAACCATCACTTCAAATCTCTCTCTCTCTCTCCTACTTTTACATCAAATCAATTTTAATTATTTTATTATAAATATTATTTCAATATACTCATTAACAACTAACTATACTACCTTTTTTAAAATTAATCAAACCAAATAAAAAACTCCAACTAAACAAAAAAAAAATTATAAACAAACATGCTCTTGAGATCCTTTTTGACTAGATAATCCACTTCAATATATATATATATATAGATATATATATATATAATTGCGCATTTATGATATGAAATGACACTAGTGCGTGGCCCGTGCGATGCACGAGAAAACAATATTACAATTGTATTATAAATTAAATATATAAATAACATTAATCATAATTTATCCATTATTTTTAAATTAAACCAGGTTGGACACAGTCCGACCGGATGGATCGAGAACAAGTTTTTAACCAATCTAATTCGCTTGAATAAAATATTTGCTCTCGAATCCGTCAACACCAGTCGGTTGGATTGGTAGGATCGGTACAATTTTCTAAATAAATTTTTTTGTATTTAAAAGTATTTTAAATAAAATTACATATTTAAATAAAATAGAGATTTATAAATTATTTATCAATGAGGTTAAACATTTGAATTTATAAATTGTTTAGATATCTAAGCAAATCATTTTATTTAAATTTAATTATAAAAATTATTATATATATAAATTAAAATCTGAACAAACCACAAATGATTTAATAAAATAGCTTGATCGTTTCGATAATGGTCCAGTTCTGAAAACCTGTACGTTAATAAATATTATAATAAAATATTATTTAATTCACATAAATATTAATAAAATGATATATAAATATTCATAAATCATTAAACATGTTGTCATAAAAGTACTGTTAATACGATTATTTGAAGTTTGGACTACATCACATTCACGTAATAAAATATTTTCAAAATAAAATTTATATTTAGGTTCAATAATCGATTTGGTGTGGTCGAATTGATAAATAACTTAGTCACTTGGGACAAACCAAGTTGTGCCAAGTTTTTGACTATTTTAAATATCACCTAAAAGTAATTCAATCAACTTGGGCAGTATCCTAATTCAATCACCCGATTGATCCGAAGAAATTTTCTTATTTTCTTTAAATATATTTAATTTTATGAAATAAAAATGTTTTATGATTCATATAATAAATGTATACACCAAATGATAGTATATTAAGATTATAAATTATATGTCTAAAGATTAACTAATTATTTTACTTTATGCATATTAATAAAAAATAAACATAGTAATTTCAAAAAATTAAGATTAATTGATTGATTATGCAATTTAAAGAATATTTTTAGCGTTCAATATTTTTTTTAAAGGCACGAATATAAATACCGAGATTCTGAAACTTTCGTCATATTTTGAATTGAGATTTTATAAATATAGAGACCGAGATTTTAATGTTGTTCATTGTTTCTAATAAAAAAATAAAAACAAAAACATACATACTTAATAAATCTTAGCTGGATTTTTTAAATAATAAAATGAACTAAAGCCCAAAATTTAAGGTAGTATTTAATGCTGTATGATTTTAAAGAAAAAAAATAAGAACAATAAAAAAACTTACTATTTATAGGTTGCATTAAATTCTGACCTATTTTTTTGCTACTATTTTTGATAAATGGTAATTCTTATTATATATATATATATATATAGATATAGATGACTAAATTTGAATTAGTATGGTGAAAATAATAATTTTATATTAATCATTTTTGTTCCTTCCAAATCGCTCCATTTTGGAGGAAAGACAGATGAGGATAAGGTGTTAGTTGGGCTAACATTTTTTTTTACCTTCTCCAAGATTACAAAGCAAACGAGTGAAACAAAAAAAAATACTCTTTCCTTCTTCCCCTTGCCCCACTCGATTTATAAGAGTCTGTCATTTTTTATTTTATTTTATTTGCATTACATTTATTTTATTTACAAATTTCTCGATTAAGCTTATTATGATTATTTAAATTCATCGTCTATTTAATCTAATAAGTTAAATAATTTTTTTAGATGTCCTCGCCTACTTAAATTATTTCCAATGTTATATTTTTCGTCAATTAAATTATCGTTCGAAATTCCTCGGTGAATCGCGTATTATTTTCGAGCATTTTTCAAGCGAGACGTGAGCTTTGTATTTGGCCCATTTTTTGCTTAATTTCGGCCCTTGTATGATCATCTTTTCGCCCCATTTTCACTCATAAGAAAGAACCAGCCCAAAGGCTTGAAAAATGCGCCCAACACCTTGAGCATTTTGGAACCCTTGATTATTGCCTTGGACTATTATGTCGTGACCTTGAATTTTTAGCGTCGTTGGATCTTTGTGCAGTACTGTTACTAAAGGTTCATTGTATAGAGTCGTTATACGGAGAGATGCAGCCTCTTGCAATAATTTTTTATTATGTCTTTCCTAAAATAAAGAACCATACTCTGTCTAAATTTTTAAGTAACTAATTGTTGAAAGATGAAAGTTGCCATTCTCAGACATATCATCTTCATCCTTATATCATAGTGAGATAATCACTGGAAACCTGTGCTCTAATATATACATTTCTTTTATACGGGGTTTAAGGACTTGTAGCTTGTATTTTAAATCTTTAACGGCGTTGTAATTTTTTTCAAAAGTATATACTGATTTATTCATTGTACGTCCATATATCGATATCATAACGTGTGTATATATATTCAATAAAGTTAAACACCTAACCTAATAAGTAATAACTGACAAAATTTGATATATATTATCACTTTTGTGCCGTTGTGTGCAAACTGGAGCTGCTCGACAATGACAAGAACGTGTGCTGTTCTGCAAGAGGTGGCGGCCTCTAGAGCAAGCAAACGAATTGTTTTTTATGCTGAAATTCTTTTCCAACTCAAATAATAAAAATATAAACAACTACTAATTCATATAGAATTTCGATTAGAAGTAGAAATTCTTAATAAACTGGCACATTTTACTAGCAGTCAACAATTACGTCTGTTATGTACCAATTGCACCCATTTTTTTCATTGCAAAGAAATAACAGTTCAAAGTACGCATGACTTATAAGTCATAAGTGTTTACAAATAATCAAAACTTTAGTCAATATTAATGAGTTGATTTTTTTTTTAATGCAAGAATTGGCAGTTTAAACTAAGCATGACTCAATAATAAGTGTTGACAAATTTACAACTAATCAAAACTGTAATCAATATTTACAAATAATCAAAACTGTAGTCAATATTAAATTATTAATGAGTCGATTTTTTCATAGCAAGAATTTGCAGTTTAAAGTAAGCATGACTCATAATAAGTGTTGACAAATTTACAACTAATCAAAACTTTAATCAATATTTACAAATAATCAAAACTTTAGTCAAAATTAATGAGTCGATTTTTTTCATAGCAAGAATATTTTGCGGTTTAAAGTAAGCATGACTCATAATAATCAAAATTTGGGTCAATAATAATGAGTTGATTGCATGATTATAAGGGCATAAATGGACCATTGACATAACATTTGATCTGAGAGAGAGATACATAGTAATAATTCATTGTAATATGGCACTTCCTTATATATCGTGATACCATTAGTTATATACATAACATTCGTGATTAAAAAAACTTTTGGTTAAATAAAATTATGGAGATGAATTATTTTGTTGGAGGTTTATTAGCAGTGGTGACGGTGGTGATGGGTATGTGGGAATGTGGTTCACCATTTCCCATACCGCGGCAGCAGATGACAGACCGTGTCAGTCGGTTGCCCGGACAGCCACCTGTCAGTTTCAACTAGTATGCCAGCTATGTCAACGTTAACAAAACTCATGGCAGAGCCCTCTTTTATGGGTTTTTTGAAGCCATCGAGAAACTCCAAAACAAACCTCTCGTCCTCTGGCTCAACGGAGGTAAATAAACAAGTAGTTATTTCCAGATTTCATCACAATTTTCTTTTTTGTTTTATTTTTTTCATTACAAGAGTTAGTCAATCAAATTATAGTTACCATTGATCATATTGAGAATTATATATATAAATATATATATGTTTTATTATTCAGGTCCTGGATGCTCATCAATAGGCTATGGGCAATCACAAGAGCTGGGACCTTTCTTTCCTCAGAAAGGGACGAAGCCAGAGCTCAAGTTCAACAACAATACATAGAACAATGGTACTGATTCGCAACACAATCATATAATATGTATTTAATCCCTAATCCAATACTTAATAACATTATTATATTCTGTAATGACTTGTTAATTTGTCCTTTGCCTGATAATTATTTGACAGTGGCCAATTTACTGTTTTTGGAATCACCCGTTGGCGTTGGATTCTCATATACAAACACAACTAGTGATCTCAGTCGCCTTGGTGACAATATTACAGGTAATTATCATCATCCTATTTACTCTTTGTTCATACACAAATTCATTTATTATTCACTGACATATATTAAATATATATATATATATATAATTATTAAATTAGCTTTGGATTCCTACAATTTTTTGGTGAGCTGGTTACGAAGGTTCCCCCAATATAAAACTCATGAATTTTACATTGCTGGGGAAAGTTACGCAGGTACGTAATGTTCTAATATTCACATTACGAATAATTACATGTGTTTTACTTTTTCTTGATTTTATATTATTAATTTCTTGTTGATGGAAATATCTCAGGGCATTATGTCCCTCAGCTTGCGAACCTTATTGTTGAGAAAAACAAAATTGCACGTAAAGATGACAAGATTAACATCAAAGGAATTTTGGTATGATGGATTTTCTCAGTTAATTACTATAGTGTTTTTAGTTACTTTACTATATATCTGTAGGGTCAAATAAGTAATAATAAGATGGATTAATGTGTAAAATTGGGCAGATAGGGAATGCAGTGCTGGACGACGAAACAGACCAAAAGGAATGATAGAGTATGCGTGGGACCATGCGGTTATATCAGAAGCATTGTATGATGAGATTAAGAGAGAATGCAATTTCAGCAGCTTAAACTAGACGGAGAAATGCAATGATGATTGGATAAATACTTTGACGTGTATGAGATCATAGATATGTACAGTTTGTATACCCCTGTTTGTGTTTCTGATGACAATGGTAACACCATTTCCAAACCCTCCGGTATTCCCAGATTTTTAACTAAAAATAATGTGAGTTTAATTTTCAGCTAATTTATATTCGATCATTAATTGTTGTCCAATATTATTATCATTTAACTTTTTTTTTTTGTGTGTGTTGATTATAATTGAATAATTGGCTAGTATGGAAGGAGGAGGTCGTTATCCGGGTACGACCCATGTGCCTCAATGTATACTTCTGTTTATTTGAACCGACCAGATGTCCAACGTGCTCTTCATGCTAATGTCACTGGACTTCGTTATCCCTGGACACTTTGCAGGTAATTAATGCACGGCTAATAATTTTATTTGTAGGAATTTGAATAAGGTTAATTAATTAGCGTTGTTGTTCAATTTTGCATACTTGATGATGATGATGATGATGATATTATATATCAGCGTTGTTATCACTAAGTGGAATGACCATCCTTTCTCCATACTCCCTATTCTGAGGCAACTTATTGCTGCGAGGCTACGCATTTGGGTTTAAAGGTAGTTAGAAAATAATCAAAATATATAGTTTAATTAGTTCTTGATTGTGTTGTGTTGTTTGAAAGTAATAAAAATGAGATGAATGAATGTATAGCGGAGATACAGATGGTAGAGTGCCGGTTACAGGAACGAGGTACAGTTTAAAAAAGTTAGGATTGTGCATGTAACAGGATTGGACTCCATGGTACACTAACAACCAACAGGTATATATACATTACTCATTTGCATGCATATAGAAAATTAATTAATTTCATGCTTTAGAAATTAATTAGCATAAACTTGATATGATATTATTATTTATACAGGTTGGTGGATGGACAGTTGAGTATGATGGTTTAACGTTTGTGAGTGTAAGGGGAGCTGGGCATGCAGTTCCTACTTTTAAGCCAAGACAAGCCCTTCAGCTCTTCCAACATTTTTTCAATAACCAAACCCTTCCCTCTCAACCCTTTTGACCATATCATCTATATATCTCTATCTATCTCTATAAAGAAAGAAAGCATCTATCTCTATGAAGGAAGAAAGAAAGAAAGAAAGAAGGTTGTAAGAACCAACTTTGATCCATTATTTTTTCTAAAACATTTACATAATTATCATGTGCTTTTTATTATTAATTTGGTTGTTGCAAGTATGATTTTGTTAATCTATGCATTGAAAATTTCAACTCCAAATGTGTTGACTCATTATTTCGATCCATGTATCATTTTGTAGCTAGTGCTATAGTCTCATTTTTCATCCATTCAGATTATTTTAACTAACCATCACGTCAAATCCCTCTCTACTACTTTTACATCAAATTAATTTTAATTATTTTATTTTAAATATTATTTTAATATACCCACTAACAAGCAACCATACCACATTTTTCAAAATTAACTAAACCAAATCAAAAAATCCAAACAAAACTAAATTTTTTTTATAAACAAACATGCTCTCCTATAATAAATATAATAAATATTTATCATGACTTTGCATTTTTAAATTTATCATGACTTTGCATGCTACTATAATAATTATAATAAACTTATTAACTAAGAGATGGAATTATAATAAAATCTTTGATCCAACATATTGAAAAATATTATCACTCTCCTACCCACGGCGAGTATTAATATTTTAAAAAATTGACGTAGACTGTATGACATGTGATTGATTAATCATGAGATCTTGAAATATATACAACTTAATGTGTTTTGCAGTTGGTAGATGAATAATTTTGTATTGATAATAACATATTTTAATTCATTGGAATGGATAATAATACTGAAATATACAAATTGTAGGGTCTTTAATATTTCATTTTGAATTATTTAAAAAAAAAATATATGTAATGGTAATTTTGTATGTCATATCTTGTGCCATTTTTTTTTTTTTTTTCGTTTTTTCAGTTACCACAAAATTTTGACCCCACCTCACTTAATTTGCTAGATCCTCCCCTGGGGATGTGGTGTAAAATATTATGAGTGATAGAAAATCGGGCTAAAGCATTATCAAGAGTTTAAACGTGATAAATTCTATATCAAGAGTTTAAATTTGATAAATTAATCAAACCATAGGCGTGGAAATAATACTGAATAGATTCTCGTATATGTTAGTGAATGTGAGTTTATATTATAATATATATATATACGTGTATTTTTTCTTCTCGGGTCAGCAATTGGCTTGATTGTTAGATGGTTGACCTGGTGCTCCGAACAATAGTTTGGATCTGTCCGCGTTTAAAAAGATTGATTTCATCCACTCTGAAATAATAAATTAACTTAGTACGACTTCGAAACAATTATTTTATTAACATTGATTATAAATGTAGATATTTTATTTTTTAGTTTATTGCATCCAATGTACAATAGCACTAATTGTCAAACAAATGATTATCATACTGCACACGCCTAAGATATTTTGCTACGAAAATGGATCTAAAAATATCTAATGTCACATTATTTATTTAAATCCCACATAATTGTGTTCAACTTTATTCTGACTGGGCTATCAAAACTATTAATGANAAAAAAAAACTATTAATAATACTGCCCTCGTTCAACATAATTGTCATAATGGCCTTAGACCCTAATAATAATGCTTATTCTTTTCGCCATTATTATTTTATTACTCAATTATCCTAATCATATTACGGTGGACCAGCATGCAGTAGACCCATTCCGTGTGGGCTCCCTTCACTAGTGTAATGGTTTTTGTTTTCTTTTTTTCGAATAGACACAGTCACGATTAGTGCGGACAGTCGGGTCAGCCTAAAACCGTCCCGTATATACAGGTTATTGAATTGGACCCGTGCTACAAACAGACCGATTTCGGGTCTTAATTTCTTTTTCAACACATCGTGTCTGGGTCGGTTTCAGGTCGGAAGACGAGTATGAGTTTTCGACCTTTTTTTTTCGTTCGCATTGGGTTGACCCTTGGCCTTGGGGACACGACGAGCAGATTGAATCTGGGTCGTCGAATCAATCTAATCGCTGAAAATTCAACGATCAGTTTTCAATTTTTATTATTTTTTTAAATTAACGGGCCGAGTCAAAACCGTGCATGTAAAGTTGGTTTAAAAATAAAAAAAAAAACCCTGGAACGTTGGAACCGGCCTGGAACCGGGCATAACCGGTCCGTACATATAGCTGGGCCGATTCAAGGTCTCTACCAAATGACCTGGAACAAGCGGGTCCGACCCAAAATCGGTTCTCTAGGCCATGTCTAATTTCGAACGCGGATACTTACTGCATCAACATTTTTGTCATTCCTAATATTCTATATAAAGTCGACGTCTTTTACACCCCAATATATAAATGCACCTTTTTTATATGCTATCTTCAGGGGCGGACCTAGGCAGGGGCCCGTAGGGGCACAGGCCCCTGTGCAATTTTTTTTTTAAAAAAAATTAGTATATATAAAATTATATTGTAAAATAATTATAGAGAGATTTTTTTAAAATTTAAGTTTTTGCAAGAGATTTTTTTAAAATTTAAGTTTTTGCATTTTGTATTTGTATTATGTTGTAGGCAACATATATAAATGAGTTTTATCGATTTCCACAAAAGTCAACATTGATTTTGATACATATTGAATTTTAAGTGTTCTTAAATTATAATTATAATTTTAAATTAGCTACTAAATTGTGTTTGTCATTGGTTTTTTAACTAATAAAATATTTATCTTTACTATAAAGAAGTCAATGAATGCTGACGTTATAAGAATATCCAGTGCAAAAGAAAAAAAAATGTTGGTATTTGAAAAAGATATATGTAATGAGATTTGAAGTTATGTAATTATGAGTGATATAATATATAAGATCATGCAGAGAATAAATATCTTTTTTTCTGCACTTTGTAAAGGTTACGTCTTTGCCCCCTCAGTCTTACAAGTCTGCCTCCGCCCCGAACTATCTCATTAAAAAATTCCCACAACTTACAATGTCCGAGCTCAGTTTTCAAAGACTCTATCTCAGCGGCAGGGTCCGCACTAGACAGCTCCTCGCTCAACATGGGGGTCAACCCGAACAAAGCCTGTATTAATAATAAAAAAAAAAAGATAAAGATAAGCTCGTAGAACAATGGTAACGAGAGAAATAAAGTATAAGACGAAGTTCAGTCAAAGAAAATACCTGAATGGTGTGATTCAGGACATAACCAGCCCGAACACCTCGTGCACCCCACCAGCACTCGATTTTCGCTGGAGGGAATATCTTCACCAGGTAGGCCGCGTTTTTTGAGGGAGCAAACATCTTAGGTTGCTCCACGCTCTTAGCCTCGTCGAGATCGTTAGCCGGTCCCTTTCCAGACCGAGTTCTCTTCCTTGAGGAGTCGGACTGTCCTAGCTCGGTGCCTCAGAGATGATCTGAACAGAAAAAGCGAGAGCTACCGGTGATGTAGCGACGACCTGATCACCACGATCGTTGCCATGACTTCGACAGCTTCGACCCCACTCACGTCACCTTCAGTGGTGAGGAGAAGATTGAGTTATTGGCTTTCCGAACCCCTTTTTTTTCCTGGAACACACCCCCTAGTGTGAACACTCGCAGTATATAAGCAACCTCGTCCTGCTTGAATTAACCAACTCTTTAAGTGTGAACGCAACAGCTAGTACGTAAGAAGAGAATCTGCGAAAGAGAAAGGACAACATGAAGAAAAGTATTAGCAAAACTAACAAGAAAATACAATGCTAAGGAAGATCCAAAAGAAGACTACCCAAGTCGGGAGGGGGATGTTGTAAGACCGATAATCCAAATGCTGACCTTAGTTGGTTGTCGTTAGTTAGGCGAATAAGATTAAAGGAACTCTCATGCCATCGAGTGATCAGACGGTCATAGTGGGGTTTTTGTTTTGGTTTTTTACGTTGGCCCGACTTCTCAGAAAACCAGATAGAAGGGAAGTAAAGAGCATTTGGTGGAGGTCGGACGAAGAAAAGCTTCACCTTCCAGTTCGGAACCTTGGTAGCAAGATCCTTAAAGAAAGAGGCATTATTCCTTTGGGAAAGGCACAATAATTGATCTACAAGTTTAAGCCAGTGGAAGTAAAATAAGAAATCGCGATCAAGAATCTGCAAGAAATGTCGACTCAAGATAACGAATCCCACCATGAAACTTATGGAGTTATGGGTGAGATGGTTCAAGGGGCCCTATAGAGCTGAGCTAGCTCTACCTGATCACTCCTTAGAGAAAAGGTCAAATTGGCCGCGACCTAGTCCCAAAAGTAGGTGTAATAGCCCTCAGGGGGCTGGTCAAAGGTTTCCCTAGCTCTAGGAATCCTAATTTCCCAGGGGAATTGAAATTCGAATGTGTCGGAGGAGGGATATGCTATCAGGGGTCCAGAAAGAAAGAGGATTGAATTGACGAGCTCCTAAGTTTGGGAGCGGCCGACATGACCAAGTAACCACTCTTGAGATGAAGCGGTGAAGACACGGTGGCTAAAGGATTTTCGTACTGAGAATAAAAAGAGCGGAGCTAGGGTTTTCTTAGCAAGGATCGACGAAGAAAAAAATGGAATAGAATAAAAGCTAAAAGATTATAGAAAAATCAGACTGTACCCGTGAAGCAAGAGGTAGAAGGAGGATGCCAAGAGATCTACGAAGGAAGATCGTCGTAAACTTAAAAACTGAGAGAGATATTTTACCGAAGCAAATCAAGAGTGAAAGAATAGAGTAAGCTACAAGAGGGTGAAGAGAGGGCTTTTTTATAAGCCAAAGAAAAGTAGCCTCCTGTAAAAATTGGACCGTTGGAAAAATACAAGATTCAAGAATCTTGCAAGAATTTGGTACATTGCATCCACATATGCACTGTACGTGTCAAAAATAAGGATCCGAGCGTGTACAAAGTATCTTTTTGGTGCCTCATGCTTTCCCAGGGTTACTGCGATACATTGAATAGAGGAAGAGGGTCAAGTACAAAAATTTTAAGTACAAATGTCCATTTCAGCTAGACTTGTCAAAACGGGCTGAGGCCTGCCCTGCGAAAAGGGTGCACCGGGCTATGATATAACGCTGGGGAGCGGGCCTAAACGGGCTTCGGCGGAGCGGGCCTAGCGGGCTAGCCCACCACAAAATAAAAAAATAAAATAAAATATACATATTTAAATATGTATACAGAATTACTGATCTCGGTCGCAAATTACAAGGGCCAAACTCAAAATATTCATCAAAATTTACTCAAAAGACCACTCGCAAATCACAATCCCGTTGAGTCAAACTCAAAATATTCATTCGAAATTTCGAATTCATCCAAGACCACTTCTCCTTGAAGGCTTGAACCCAAAACAGAGGCATCTCTCTCGTCCTTGCTGCAGATTTCAGGCGATAGCCCGGCGAGTTGGCGACGAGCTCGGTGTCGGTGTGGCCCATTCAAAGCTTCGACATATGACAGAACTTAGGGTTCGTGGTTGAATTCAGATTCAAAGTGAAGGGAGGTCGCCGAATTGATTTGAAGCTTCCCTCACTAGATCTATTTTGACTATGGAGAAATATGTGATCGATTTTGACTTTGGAGAAATATGTGATCTATTTTGACCATGGAGGTAAGGAGGGATATGTGCTCGGAAAGGAGAAGATGAGAGAAGAACGAAAGAGTGGGTTGGGTTGGTTAGGAAAGAGAAAAAAAAAAGTGAGAAAGAAATGACAAAATTGAAGTGGTCCGCTGGAAAAGCAGGAAAAGGGAAAAGCTGTAGGCTATAGCATGTGCTTAGCTTATTTTTTTTTTTCTTTTTAAACAGA